AGAATTTTATTTAACTTGCTACGGAAAAATTCTCATGAAAACATTTATTAAATTAAAGGATGATAAATGGATTAGATTTTTAGGCCAAAGCTGTTTGGAGAAGATTATAGATGATAATCATTTGATTTCGAAAATTTCTTTATTGAGTATTATTTTTGAAAACTTTAAAGAATTATCAGAAAATCAGCCTACATTTATAGCAAGCACTTTATCCTTGATAGGATTTGTAGTTCCTTCTAAGAATTTAATTCCAACCTCTAATTCTTCACATCTTTCCACTTATGGAAGTTACTATCATTTATCTAAAACGTCAATTCTTCATATAATAACTTCTAATCTTTGGATTCGTTGGATTAGTTTTAAAAAAGAATTTCAAATCAAGTTTGAAAATTTTCAAGAAAAGCATCCTTTTTTCCGAGATTCCTTTGTAAAACCAATTAAAGATTTTTATTATGTGGGTCATAGTTCAACAATACTTGCAATTCCTTTACCAAACTTTGTTTCTTATCCAACAGATTACAATTTTTGGAAAGCATTATTGTTACCCGCTTCCAACCCTTTTATATATTTAAGTAAGTTTGAAATGACGAAATATGAATTTTTTAAATATTTAAATGGAGAAGCACTGCTTGAGTTTAAATGGAATTTTTATGGAAGAAAATATTATTATGCAACTTGGGCAATTTATACAGTTTTTCTTTGTAGTTTTATTTATGCTACTATTTTATCTAATAATACTTCTTGGGATTATCAAAAAATTATTTTGATAATTGCCATTTTTCTTGGATTTTGGCATTTATTTTTTGAAGTTCGTCAGTTTATTTATTCACCTTTAACTTATTTTTTAAGTATCTGGAATTATCTAGGTAAATTTTTATTAAAATGTTTGATATATGTATATATTTATATATTCTTACTTTATTTATTACCTTAATAGATCTTGGTGCTATAATTTCTACTACAGTAACTTCTATTTATTGGTTAAAGAACGGCTCTGTTCCAACTTGGGCTATCACGTTTTCAATTTTATTTCTTGAATTGAAATTTATTCTTTTTTTCCGTTCTATACAATTTTTTGGAATTTATATTGCTATGATTATGAATACTGTAGATAAAGTAATGTCTTTCTTAATAATATTTGGATTTATTATATTTGCATTTGCATACTCCTTATACCTCTTGTTACAAACTGCATTGGAGACATCTCAAGGTATTTGTCTAATAAATTGGTTTTTTGCTAGCTTGTTTACAATAATATTATTAACAACTTATATCATTATTAAAATCTTTAGATTCAAATATATTTAAATACTTTGGTTCTTCAATTGTTGCAACCTATTACATGATGATTACGGGTAATATATTACATAATTTCATTAATACTTTATTCTTATATTTACTTAACTATAATATATTTAATTATACTATATTAGGAGATTCAACACCTATTTCTTCATTTATTTCTAGTGAAAGCATTTCAATAATGCTCCTAATGATTGTGGTTTCATTTTTTACACTAATTTACTTAATGAATTTATTTATTGGGATTCTTAATAATTTAATTAGTGATGATAAACGCAGTTATATAGCCTACTTGAATTTAATTCACGAGGTATTTTCTTTTAATATTTAGTTGTTCGAAGCTATTTAAATCAACGAATTTTAAATTTCATAATTTGTTTATTATTTAGATTCTTGTAGAAATAGAGTCATTATATATGTTACCTCATCAACGAAGAAAAGAAAATTGGTTCCCATTTGTTATGTAAGTTATTTAACTACATGCAAAACCAACTTTATTTCTATTACTTATATAATTTTGTGTTAACAGTTTTTATGAATGCCGCACTGATAAACTTCGTGAGCTAATAATTAATTGGTCAGGAGACAGAGTGCCTTATATTTCAAAGAATCTTAAAGATGTTCTTCTACTCCCTGAAGAACAGCCCTCTCTTGCACAAATTGAGGGTGCTATTGAAGAGCTGAGATATTCAATTAAAGTGCTAAAAGGATCAGCTAAATCTAAAGAACCCTCTCTTGCACGAATTGAGGAGGCAGTAGGAGACAGTTATACACGAATTAAGGATGCTATTGAAGAGCTGAAAGAATCTATTATACATGAATTGAGAAATTAATGTTTATAATAAATATCTATATTTGTTAGACGACATTTTCATATAAAAATTGATGTGAGTTTAAGTTTTATGCTGATTAACATGCAACCTACGTCGAATCTATTTAATGTGGTTTTATTGAGTATTTTGAATATATGAAAAAAAAATTTAAAGATACATTATTTCTTTACAACATGGCCTCTGATATTTTGTCAGATACTTTATTGGCTTCTATTTTTTCATTTCAAATCTTTGAAAAAAATTGTTGAAAACTACATGAATAACTGAAAAAAATAAAGGCATGCAACGGATCGTTCAAAATAAGTTCGTTATTTAACGGTAAAGCAAATGTGAAAACAAAGCTTTAAGTATGGGGTTCTTGAAGCTTTTAAATTAATTAATTAATTATAGGTGACATTATCAAGGAATTAAATGTCCAATTGGATAAACATAAACTATGGCATTTAATTTTGTTCTTGTGCTAAACAAAGTTAATTTTTCGTTTTGCATTACATGGAATCTGAAATTTGGATCGGTCGGTCAATCAGCATTTTTTACTGTCAGTTATATTAGATAATTCCGAAATTAATGTATCTATCGAGTGATACAGGATAAAAATGACGGAAAAAATAAACAGCAAAAATAGAAGTTGGCACTTAAAAATTTTTTTAAATTGAAAAAAATGGGTCGGTCAGTTATTCAAAAATTCAAAACGAATAATCAACTTAAATATTTTATTAATATTATTTAATAAAATCAACAATTTAAATAGAAAGTAGATTTTTAAATAGAAGGTAGATTTATAATAGAAAGCAAAAATATCAATACAGCATTATCGTGCTGTAATTTACTGTATGCCGTAATACGGTAAATAGTGTGTAATTAATTCATAATCAACTGCTATAATTTTAATTTTTCAGGGAACGCGCCATAGTTTGATGGTGATCCCAGTCATGTGATAACAGTTCCATGTGACAAGTTATTTGACGAAATTTCAATTAGGTTTACATTATACATTTTCTTATAATAAATATTTTTGAGTATTTATGTATCCTTGCATATTGTGAATGTAATGTTGAAATGTGAACCTTAAATCGAGGCAGTTAGAAATTTAACCACAGGATTAAACAGATTTACTGTAAAGCAACTTTTAGGTTTCATTTCTGGAAAGATTTCTTAATACATCTTGTGCATAATTTCGCAAAGTGTAATCATTTGTATTCAATGCTAAATTTGATAAGTTCGACCGAACAAGATATGTTATTTTAAGTGCATCATGTGATGCAAAATAGAAGCATTTGTGTTACTTTGCTTATATCACGATAGTTACGCACCACCACCTTCGCAAGCATTCGTTCTCCTGAAATGCGTTTGTTTTCACATTCTTTTATCTTTTATTAGGCCAGACCAATTTAATTCGGTGGTTTACATTAACCCCCCTCTTTTGACCTCCCCCCTCTCTCTCTAAGTAAAAAAAAATTTTGGGATATATATATATATGATTTTGGCCGGAAAGCATAATGTCGGGCGGAATTAAGATTAGGATCCGAAAAATGAACGAACATAAAAAACGAGCAAGGTCAAGCCGAAAATTTCCGATTTAAAAAATTTTTATGAAATTTACTATGTCGTTCCATTTTTTACCCTCCCCCCCCCTCTTTTGAGAGAGGAATGTTATGTAAACCACCGAATTAAGTTGATCCGGCCTTATTACATCATCATCACTATTATCTCGGTAATATCAAACAATGGCAATTTTAATAAAATTTATTATGCAAAATTTTACGTTTATTAAGATTAAGATTCATTGTTATTTTGTGTACGTATGATGTGATAATTCAGCCGAAAAGATCATTGGACTACACTTTACTCAAAGAGATTTGTAAACAGCTATTAGGAAAGATCTTATATATAGAGATTTGCTATTTACTACCACCTGTAGTCACTACCATATTGCTATATCTAAAACGGGACTATAAAACAGGGGTCAGGTGTACTAAATAAAAATGTTCAGAGCCTCGGAAACCTCAAATTCGGGATATTACATCTAACCCCTGTCTTGGTTTTTAAATATTCTTTAACCCTAAATGTTAACAAAAACTTATAACCGGTAGTAATTTTCTTATATATATGTTTAAAAGCTTGTTAAGAATTATGCAACTGATTGCTTGTTTCGTAGATTAACAATTACTTACTGAATTCAAATATTCAAATTTCAAGCGTATTTTTTACGATGTCATATGGATACAACGTCGTGTAATCAAAATATTTTTTAGCACGAATTTATTACTCGAGTCTTTTTGGTCTAACTATGTGAAACAATTTTGGATTAAGTTTATTTTCAATGTTGAACGAAGTATGTGATTACATAACATTTGCAAAAAATAAAAGATTAATCAAAAAAAAGAAATTCGTATATATTTATGAGCCTTTTTCACAAAGCATATATGTACTGTACACAATTGATGCAGACTAATAAATAATAATTATCGTTATGATGATACAGTTTTTGGAAGCAAATATCAATCAGAACATGATCATAGATTTCATACACTATCACATTTTCAGATGTACTTGGATTTCAATAATTTTAGATACGTACGATTAAATAATTTTTGATATAACCTGATTATGTTGGTAGATTTCACGTACGTACTACATATTACATTTTGTATAGACTTGATTTTTAATAATTTTAGATACGACAAATCAAAAATATTAAAGCTCACAACCCGAATTGAATTATATAGATAGATTATCTTGAACGTAGTGGAGGATATTATGGGAAGTAATAGTCCAGATTTTGTGTTGTGTGTATGTTTATGTCCGCACAAATTTCTCAACTTATATATTAGCTAATTTTATGTATTTTTCAGTTTATCTAATATATTAACTAAATTAATATATTTACTTTATTTTTAGCTAGTGCACCGAATATCTAATAATGTCTGTTTTCTAGTTAATACAATAACAAAAACCTAATAAAATTGTGCATTAAGTTTTAAAAAATTTAGATCTAATAACTTGATTAAATTTGCATTACTTTGATTGGCACTTGCTATCAGCCAATTTTTGATAATAAATATATGCTTTATATTCATCCAATTCAACACCGATTCCATTTTGATAGCAATAGCCAACTTTGTCCATTCCATCAGTATACCCTGTATCTACAGCCTTTTTATAATAAGTGAATGCCTCGTTTTGATCAGCTTTGACCCCAACACCATATTGATAACAATAACCAACATTGTGTGTTGCAACATTGCATCCCATATCAGCAGCTTTTTTATTACAAATGAATGCTTTATGTTCATCTTTTTCAACACCAATTCCATTATGATAACAATAACCAACTTGAGACGTTCCACTAGGATTACCCATATCAGCAGCTTTTTTATAATAAATGAATGCTTTACTTTCATCTTTTTCAACACCAATTCCATTTTGATAACAATAACCAATACTATATATTCCACTAGCACAACCCATATCAGCGGACTTTTGATAATAATTAAATGCCTTACTTTCATCCTTTTCAACACCAATTCCATAATGGTAACAATATCCAATACTATATATTCCAATAGCGTATTCCATTTTAGCAGATTTGTTGGAATAAAAAAATACTTTATTTAAGTCTTTTTTAACACCTATTCCGTTTTCATAACAACAAGCAAGTTTATATAATCCACAAGGATCATTCATTTTAGCCGACATTTGATAATAAATAAATGCTTTATTTTTATCTTTTTTAACACCGATTCCTTCTTCATATAATTCACCAAGATCACAAATTCCATAAGAATTTCCCATATCAGCAGCTTTTTTAAAATAAATGAACGTTTTATGTTCATCCTTATTAACTAATCTTCCATAACGATAACAACGTGCGAGAATTGTTAAAAGTATAGAATTTGTTTGATTATTTAAGCATAAATTAATTAAATCTTTTGACTTTAATTGATTTTTGGTCAAATATTCTTCTATTGAATTAATAAATTCTGAATCCCCATTTCCTTTGAATATTTCTTTTTTATGCAGTTCGCATAATTCTTCAATTGTTTTTTTATTTAAGAAATCCTGGAACTTATTATCATCGTGTAACATATTTATTTGCATAAAGGATTAGAGTCTTGTATCTGATAGTTGTGAATTTTGTTTTTTGTTGACTTGTTGTTGTATGTGGGTTGTTTTATGTGTTTTATAGATCTATATTTGATATTATTAATAAAAAGACAGGGTTGTGTAAATAT